CGAAACGGATACAGAAGATGCGTTCCCGTACCCCAGAAGGAGCATAGAAGTGTCACGAGCGGAGGCCAAGAGGGATGGTGCAACTTGGGAAGGAAATCTGACCCATTAATGTGTGCCCGCGTGAGTGGGTAGACAGTGTGTGTTCGCGCCAATAAAGATCGTGCTTCATTGCCGCGTTTGTTCGGTCTTCCTGACGTTGTAGAACTTGTGACTTTTATAGTGACTACACGACAATAATCAGGCGTCTACTGGTATGGTGCCTACCACGAGTACCAAAAATGAGGAATTATAACCACTGTTTCGGCTCTAATTCGCCAACTAGACAAACTAATGAAAAATATTTTATCATGGATAAAAACGCCATTATTTGACACGTTTCGTAGGGTGATCAGTGTAGGGATTAAGAAATCAAATGTAAAAAATAACATGGAAAAGGAAGAAAACCGTGTTTGAATTGACACACGCATTGTGACACGCAACCTCGAATGTAACTTTGGTTAACTTTGAAGTCATCAGTCTATGCAATTTCAATCACTGGGATCATATCCGAATTGGAGCATTTCGATTTCGCTCTCTCCACAAACTATTCACATGAACACTTATGTCAGTTTCGTCACTGCTATGCTACAGAGAGAGCTAGTGAGCACACAGTTTGGTTCATGCTATTCCGTCCACTGGATGAAACTTACTATATCACATAATACAAATGGGATAGCGTGTCATTTTGGCGGATTTTGAAAGGCGTTAATGTCAGAGCTACAATGATGAGTTGAAAGGTCGCTCAATGTTCCGGTTACCTTAGGGGGGAAAAGATTTCATCGACCGCGCGCGCTTTGAAATTTTGAAAAAGCTCTATCTTGAAGTTTCTGCCTTCAAATTTGGCTTGGAAGCGTGATCTAAACTGACTGAGTGGGAAATCTTTACTCTGCTCCATCAAATATTGATCCAGGATATCTTGGATCTTCGGTAACCGCGTGAGTTTGTTCCAGTGTTGCTTCTCTTTTTGGTCGTGTTAATTCGCTGTGTTTATATTTTTATTCAATATTGTTGTATTCTCTTTTGTATTAACTTGTTTTGACTACTTATTCATCTTAAGCCGTCATACCTGTATTAGTTTGGTCAGTTAATCCAACCAAACTACCTATCTTGATTATTCTATACGGAGCTGTTACGTGCTATTTGTAATGACATCGGTGGCTGGCTATAAATGTGGTGAGCACACTTGTGGCGTTGAGGTCAAAGAGGGAATCCAGTGCGACAGATGCTTGTTATGGTACCATAACAACTGCTCTAGATTAGACCAGGACTCTATTGATCTTTATGCCCGACATTCCCAATTAAAGTGGATTTGCTTCCACTGCGTGTGCTTAGCAGACATTGGTTCTCGATTGATACATGATCGGACTTTTGATTCAGTTACTCATGTCTCAGATGTGCATGAGTCCGCTAGTAGGAACTGTGTGCATAGACTAGACAGTGCCGAGAAGTTGATTCGTGACCAGAGCTTGCTAATTGAGACATTGCGTTCAAAAGTTGAAGAGTTGCAGTCTTCATTGGAATGTTACTTGCGAAGTGCTGAACTTGCTATGGGTAGACAACGAAACGTTCTTATCTACAATAGGGAGGAGCCAGTCATACGAGAAACTAGAACTCGACGGGACCTAGACAGAAGGCGAGTGCACGATATCCTTCGTATAGCCGGAATACCGTTATACGTTGGTATCAAGAGAGTACATCGTGTTGGCAGCTGGAGAGAAACAAGTATGCTCCGCCACCAAGGTTATGCAAGGCCTATCCTGGTTGAGTTTCGGAACCCTATACACCGGGACCTTCTACTTAACAGGGCTGGATTGGTTGCAAGTCAGACAAATGGTCGGTATCAAATAGCACCGGACACACTAACTTCGAAGGCTAAAGCCTCTCGGCTGAGCCGGTTAGAAGATACTAGTACCAGCTTGGCTAACGAATCTGCGGTCTCACACGTTGGAATTCATGATAGTGAGCCTCACGTTATGCAGACACCTAAGAAAAACTCTAGCGTTTGCTCTCCTGTGGCAAGAGCAGTCAGCTTGTCTGGACAACCCCCTTCACAAAACGCCAGCGAGATAACTCCTGGCCTGCATTTGGTTGTGGAGAAACTTGCTCTTGATGGAAATGTGAATCACACATCTATGGCGGAAGAGGGCAGTGAAGGTGTGGTAATGGGACTTCAGCCGGTGCGTTCAAAAACAATCGAGGCCTCATGCTCGACAGTAGTGTCACCAAAGTCCATGGGTGGTATGCCCTTTTCACAAAATGATAGGATAAATGAAAAACTTGCCACACCTAAATTGGACCGTACAGATAATCCGAAGTGCACTGCTGTTAGGTTGACTCAGGTAAATGGGAGGAAACCCATCGGGAGTTTATCCAGCAAGCCCAGGCGGGCGAAGCCAGGAAAGGGATTATCCCGTAATGCGTTACAGCAGCCCAGCGTTGATTCATCGACTCAGGCAGCTGATCGAAATGAAATGGTACAAAAAAACGGGTTATCCCCTCGGGCTCTACGTCCGAGGGGAAACAACCGCGTTCGGAGAGATTAAGCGTGTGGTACACTAATTGTTGTAGTGTGCGTAACAAATGGGGGGAATTAGTGACACGTTGTGAGCATGTTGATGTGGCCGCTGTGTCCGAGTCCTGGCTCTCTTCAGATGACTTTATTGGTGATCTGCTTATAGACTTTGCGTGCTACAGGGCTGACAGGCCCGGGTATCAGACCGGTGGAGGAGTACTCTTGCTTATAAGGTGCCAATATAAACACTGGGAGGCTCCATTTACCATGAGTTCTGCTAATGTTCAGGCGGTTTCCTGCTATCTAAGAGCATGGGGTAAATTGGAGATTATAGTATGTGTTTATCGTAGCCCATCGTCTACCCGAGAAGAGGACAGGGATCTTGGTATGTTACTAAGACAGGCGGCAATAGCCGCACCTAATTTTCTGATCGTCGGTGACCTAAACCTTCCGCATGCTGATTGGCAGCATGCTGAAAACAGAGTGGGTACTTTAGAGAAGGAACTAGTAGATTGGATGCACGTAAATGCCTTCGAGCAATACGTCAATGTCCCGACTAGAAGTCGTACTGGGAGTACCCCTTCAACCCTTGATATCGTGATCGCCAGACATGGTCACTTAACTGACCTATGCGTGGAGCCACCCATAGGTAAGAGTGATCATTGTGTTTTGACCTTTTCTCTGGACACACCGAGGCTTGCAGAGAACCGTCGAATGGGAAGAGATTTAAATCGTATTGATTTTACGAAATTGCGGGATCGAGCCCTTCAAATCACTTGGGTCCCTGAACAGGACAAGGCCACTTTGGAACAGAGGTGGCTTCTACTTAAAAGTGGACTTGTACAGTTGCTGAATGAATTTGCTCCTCTTCGCCCTAGGAGACATCTTGGGAAACCCCGATGGTGGAGAAGAAAAATTGATAGAGCGATAAAGAGGCGCAATGCTGAGTGGAGAAAATATCAAGAAATCCGGGGCTTTCGACGCTGGCTGCAGTACAAAAGGTGTCGAAACATGGCTATTAAGCTACAGCGGCAGGCGAAGTACTCATATGAGCTTAGGTTGGCTAAAATTGCGAAAACTAATCCCAAGTGTTATTACAGTTATGTCCAGTCAAAGGCTTCCTTAAGAGAGGTGGTCGGCTGTCTAACCATGGAGGACGGTACCCAGGCTGTAGACGACGTCGATAAAGTAGAAGTGCTGCTACGTGTCTACCAAAGCCTGCATCGGAAGGATAGTGGGTCAGCCTTGCCATCACTACCGCACTGCTCAACTAGCTACACAATGCGGGAAATTATTCTCAATGTGTCAGAGGTCTTCACAGTGCTGGCCAATTTGAACCCTTATAAATCAGCCGGTCCTGATAGCTTACATCCCGCCATAGTTAAGCCTCTGGCTGATATCCTCCAGTATCCCGTACTGGAGTTATTCAACCAGTCTCTTCAAGAAGGCAAGCTGCCACGTGATTGGAAGGAGGCGACTATTGTTGCCATCCACAAGGGGGGTTCTAAGTCGGTGCCTCTTAACTATAGACCTGTTAGTTTGACCAGCATCATGCTGAAATGCTTGGAAAAGCTTATAAGGAACAGGATCTGTGAGCACTTGACTGAGCACAATCTAATTAGAGCGGAACAGCATGGCTTTCTTAAAAAGAAGTCTTGTCTTACCAATTTATTGTGCTTTTTGGACGAGATTACCCGTTGTCTTGATGGTGGGATATCGGTAGAGGTGTGCTATTTAGACTTCAGTAAAGCCTTTGACTCCGTGAATCATCGATTTTTAATTGAGAAGCTGACATGGTTTGGATTACATCCTCAACTACTACTATGGCTCTCTGAATTCTTACGTGGAAGGACATTTAGAGTCAGCGTTGGGGAAGCGAGTTCTAGTGTTGGTCATGCCTACAGTGGTGTCCCTCAAGGTTCGGTTCTGGGTCCATTGCTATTTCTTATGTTTATAAATGACCTGGCTCCTCTTCTTGAGGACCCCTGCTACATCTTCGCAGATGACTTGAAGCTGGTCAGTAGGGGAAACCGTGCGACATTGGCTAAGGACATCCTCACTGTGGTGAATTGGTCAAGTCAATGGGACCTACCTCTAAATGCCAACAAATGTCAACTATTGACTAGTAGTGGTAGCGGAATTGCAGTTCAGTCTCCTGTGGGATTTCTATCATTGCGGTGCACTGACGAAGCCCGTGATCTAGGTGTCATCGTAGCGAACAATTTTAAGCCTTCGGCACAGTGTCGCCATGCTGCCAATAAAGCACGACACGAATTATTTCGTCTTAGGAGGGCGCTGAGTAACACTAAAGCAGAAGTATTCTTGCCCTTATATAAAGCAGTGGTCAGGCCACATCTGGAGTATTGCGTTCAAGCCTGGTCACCGTACCTCCGTAGTGACATCACTTGTATAGAAAAGATTCAGAAACTTGCGACCAGGATGATTGAAGGTCAACGAGGGAAGTCTTATGAAGATCGTCTAAGTAGCTTAGGATTATTTTCCCTGGAACGGCGTAGGTTGAGAGGGGATTTGATAGAGACGTTTAAGATCATTAAGGGACTTAGTGGTATTAGTTCCACCCATCTGTTTGAACTGGCTACGTCAGACCATCTGCGCGGGCATCGCCTGAGGCTTAAACATCACAGAGCTCGTTTGGACATCAGGGCAAAGTTTTTTACGAACCGGGTAGTTAACTACTGGAATAAACTCCCTTCTGATTTAGTGGAGTCTGAGACAGTAGAAGCCTTCAAAAGGGGCTTAGACAATTGTTGGTCCATCCTTTTTCCAGAAATATTGTAGTTGTACTTTAATATGTAGTGTATTTTGATGCTGGCATATGAAAGTGCAGAGATTGCTCTTGTTCTTGCTTCATTCCATTGCAGAAGCAAGAAGAGACAATCCAACGTCGAAGTGCCGGGGGTCGCTTCACTTACCGGCACAAGAACTGGACGCTCGTTAGGCGGAAGCCTCTATCGTCCATCTGACCTGACCTGACCATTTTCGTTGAAATGTTTCGTCAGAAGCTGCTTATCGCTGACCAATGTAAGACACGAATCGCAGTGAAAGTTGATGCCTTTAGAGTTAGTGCGCTGAAGACATTGGTAAAGATCATTATCAATGTTACAGCAGACTATATGCATCCATCTGTCGCACAGTGCGCATTGGACGGCCTTTGAACGTGAGGTGACACCCTTCCCACAGTCCATGCACATGGATGTCATATCTACCAAAAGAACAATTTGACTAAAGTCAAATTTCGTCAAAAGTGTCTATTCAAACACCTTTCTTCACGAGAATTTCACCTAAAAGTCTCGAAAGCATAGCAAGTCAGACAGAGAAGTTACCGCGTGGCACTCACAGAGGACGACCAGT